CTGAGTACGCCAGGGCAAGTAATCTTCAACGGTCACCAATTTGGAGGTTACAATTTAAGTAATTGAAGCCCTAAAAATCATGCCCTGAGCAAGGGAGGTGAAGGAGGCGGGCAGCGAAGGGGTGGTGAGTGTTCTGCCAATCGTTCCTGCGTGCGTCAACTGCAATCCAGAGCTGCCGGACAACGTGGGCCCAGCAAAGCGAGGTCCGCCAGTGTTGCAGGAGACCTCATGTGACACGTCGTGGCTAGAAGAGGGCGACTAGATGAAGGGGCGTAGGGTTGGTGCCGTCGGATTCCAAGAGAAAATAGGTGGAACCCAGGAGGACGCCGGAACAGTAGAGGAATACGCCGGCCAAGGCTGCGAACTGAGCGGTTCTTCCATGGAGGAGAACGGCGCCGTTTGCAGAGCTGAGGAGAAGGGTGGCATGACAGTCGCGCTCTGCACAGTTTCGGTCACCGGAGCGAAGGCGGCGGTGACAGTCGAAGAGGCGGTGGCGGTGGAGCTGTCGGATGCCATAGGACCGAAAAAATATATTAAAAACTGGCTAAAACCCTAGAACTCTGATACCATGTGAGAATAATGGAATGACTTACCCAATTGGGAGCCCTACAATAGGAAACATAAGAAATATGGAAACCTCATTAATAGTGATTAATTACTCTATTAAAAACAACACTCATATTTTGAAATCCCAAATGCTTTAACTCAATTGCCCTTGATTATTGTTAACATTTCGGTTGTATAGCTAGTTTTGTAATCCTTTTTTATTTCACTCTAAAGTGTGAATAAAGTTGGAAGTGTTTAGTACGATTTGATTGGCTGAATTTACTGAATAGACTGTTTTAAGTATGTTTTCACATACTTTTTCTTCATTTCAATAATAAAAATATACTTTAAATACATAATTTATTAGATTGGAATAATTTAACCTTTCCAGTTAGAATTCTATTTTATTAGAGCGACTCAATCAATTTAATTATACCAATGTGCTATTTAGGAGGTGTTTGAAACAGATTCTACTTCTTCTGATTCTTTTTTTAAAACAGAAACATAATCAGAATCAATTTTTCATAAACTGATCTCCCCAAATTCTAAAAATTGCTTTTAGAAGTAATTTAAAACACCCGGAAGTACTTCTGCACTTTAATTTAAACGCTCTAATATCTGTTTCTGTTCCTTGAAGCACGGGAAGCAATTTTAAGTAGCAGATCCACCGCCCCTAAACAACATCAAATTGTATGAGCAAGATGTGATTGGTCGTTACTAATGAACAAATGAACAATAATGATGAAGAGAATTTGGTCCAAGGCCACGTCCACCAAGTTTGAAATGGAAGGCCAAAATTTGGAATCTTGCTGCGGCTTAGTTAGTTGGATAACGAGAGTGAAACTAAGGCGCTAGCTGTCCGGTTGGATGGGTAAGGTTTTGTTTGGTTTGGTATTTCAAGATCTTTCGCTTGTTTGAGTAATGAGCATTTAAAGCCCGCCCCTGCCAAACCACACGTGTGCACGCACGACTCACTGAACCCTGGCCTGGCAGTTGGCACCCCACCCGCACGGGTGGTAGTATGCTGTCATTCCGATCCCACGCCGCGCTCTACGCCTAAAGTTAGTCACGCGGCAACTGTTTCCTTTCGGTAAATCATGCTACACCTGAAATTAACTTCCATCTTTTCTACTACTCCCTCCGTCCCATATTTAACTACGGTTTTGACCGAGCACGAGTTTTAAGATAGTGAGATTTGTGTGGTGGAGAGTTATGCAGAGGAGAGAGAAATGTGTAAGAATGGTTGTGAATCACATATTCTTTATCAAAAAGGGAAAAAAGAGATGAATTTGGGACGGACTGAAAAGGAAAGAATGAAGATAAATCCAAGACGGAGGGAGTAGTATTTGGACTGTATTAAAATTAATTTCTTGTTTTGTTTTGTTTCTACTTTTGATAAATTTTTGCGATGAAAGTACCCATTTCCCATTATTTTTACTATTCGTTGACTCTTCAAATTTATTTGGATCACTATGTCTCTTTACTATGCATAGGTAATTTTGAAAAATCAACTTTTACCTTCTATCTAAAAATCAGTGGAGTCAATCCCGAAAGTGAAGTACTTTTATAAAAAATACTCCCTCCGTTCCTAAAAATTCTTCCCGGTTTGACTTGGCACGTTTATTAAAAAAGTGGAATAAAGTAAAAATATATGGTTGTGGTTGTGTAAGAAAAAAGTAAAATGAATGTGAGCCACACAAATTGTCCAAAATGGGAAAGTGAGAAGTATTTTTGGGAACAGCCCAAAAAGGAAAGTGGGAAGTATTTTTGGGAACGGAGGGAGTAATACTCCCTTTGTCTCTAATTGAATTTCAAAATTTGATTGATACAAGGATTAAGGAATAACAATAAATGATGTTTGTTTTTTATATTTTTACCCATCTTCCTAAAAGTAGATGCCTTTAAATTAATGGAAAAAAAGTAAAAGTAAGGGCAAGGTTATCACTTTGTTCTTATTTACATACCTAAAAAGAAAGTGGAAAATCATTTTGGGACAACCAAAATAGGAAATTTTGCAAATCAAATTGGGACGGAGGGAGTACTATCTAGTTGATGAGTAATTGAAGTAGATAATACTTTATGAGAGTGTGTTCAATTTTTCCGTAGTTTTTCTGAAAATATATTATTCTTTATAAGAGATGAGTGAAATCCTTTGAAGTAAATAGAAAATTATTTTCAAAATGAGACAACACTAATTGAGAGACTCCAGTTGGAAGAGAAAAAATTAGGTGTACAAAAAATTGTACGCTTTTTGTGTACACTCTCATGCTTGCTTGTGTATATAGTAAGCTCAAAAAGAAAAAATTAACATATACACATGCGAATGTATAAAAAAGTACACTTTTTATGTACACTAAAATTGAATCATTCGAAGAACCATGTATAAAAAAGTACACTTTTTATGTATAGAGAGTAAATGAAATGACAAATGGAATGCAATGTTTAAATGGTAATTCTTGTTACACAAAATTTTACGCAAATTATACACATTCTATTTACACGAGCGATTGCAGAGAATTGGGGGGTTTTTTAAACGAAATTCATATGTACACAGGCAACTAGTCGTGTACAATTTGTATACCAATATAATTTTCCATGTTTAAACCTAAATTCATGTGGAATTGATGAGCATTATTGTCTCTCATCAGTATCCCACTGCCATGGTTCATACTACGTATATCTTTGAGTGTGAGAGTGACGGTGGTTTATGGACTGTTCAGATCACGATCAAAGTCAATCAAGACAACAGGCTCTAGTCCTAATCTCAACCAATATCAATATAATATACTCGTAATATGCACCAAATACACATGTACACATACTCTGCATATTTGCCAACTATTCATACATCGAAAATAAGTGAAAAACAAAATTTTGTTAAAATAAAGTAAAACAAGATAGATTTTGGCATTTATAGTAACTAGAAAATAATTTTGTTATTTATATGCCTTTTGAAAAAAGAAAAACCCTTTTGAAACGAGGACAAGATAAACATCCCAAACTTTCATATGTAATGTGTGTGTGTGTGTGTATATATATATATATATATATATATATATATATATATATCCTGAACTTTAGATAAAAAGTTATTTTCACATAATGATTGTATGTTTTCTTACAAATACAAATTTAATAGAATAATTACTTAATTCAACATATTCTAAACTTTGTTAGAATGTAGTTAATATTAAAAATTTCTGTTGTGAAATAAATAATATTACATCAATACAATTTAATTTCTCATAAATGTTTTCTGTATTTTAAATTATGTATTTAATACCATAAAATTACATTATGAAATAAATGATCATGATGCTGACATAACTTTTTATATTAAGTTTGGGGTATACATATTACATGTGGAGGTTTAAGATACTTATATTACACACCTTTAAAATTTGAGATATTTAGGGGTGTTTGGACTTGATACTTAAAACTGCTTCTGCTTCTTCAGGGAGCAGAAGCAGAACTTGGAGTGTTTGAGTGAAAGTGCAGAAGTGATTCTGGTGCTCTAATTTACTCCTAGAATCAGTGTTTTTAGAAGCTGGAGGTGACCAGCTCTACTTTAAAAAAGAAGCAAAAGCAGAATCAGTTCCAAACACTCCCTTAAATTATTATCCCCTTTTTTCACCAATATAATTACTTTTTGTGTCCCATAAAATTCTTCTATTTTGGAAACCGTTGTCGTAACATTCATTTACTTTTTTCTTACTCATTCACAATCATACATTTTCACTATGTTCTCATTTCTTAAATTCTGATTTAAGTCAAACCGAGAATATTTTTTTTGAAGGAATGTAGTCATCCCTCCGTATGATCACTTTAGTTGTCTCATTTGCTTTTCATGAAATTTATGATAATTATTGTACTCCCTCCGTCCCGAAATAATTGTCCTGCTTTCCTTTTCGGTCCGTCCCGAAATAATTGTCTCATTTCCTTATTTGGTAAACAAATCTATACAAAATAGTGTCAAAACAGTGTCAAACAGTGTCGCTACAGTGCCAAACAGTGTCGCTACAGTGCGAAATCAACTTTATTTTTTTAATCTGTGTGAAGGTCAAAACAGGACGATTATTTCGGGACGGTGGGAGTATATTTTATAAAAAATAAGAGCTTTTTTGTACTATAGCATTACCGTAGTCATACTGTAGCAATACTGTAACTGCTTTTTGAGTGAATTTCTTTCCAAAAAGTGAAATGAGACAATTAATTTGATACACATAAAAAGGAAAGTGGAATCATGGAAATGATAGGGAGGGATTATATAATTTAATGTGACGATGGAACAATAAAAAAAACTAAGTACCCAGTTTTGTATCTACCCTTATTTTGCTGGTGCACATAGATAATTCTTTAAGAACAAGGCAACATTTTATCTGTATTTATCCGCGTACAAGATAATAAAAGGATATGTACATGAAGGACTCTGGAACAATAGAATCTATTCTAAAATTACATTCGAGTAAATGCCATAACGCTATTGTGTGATTTGTGTCAACAAAGAAGACTATAAAAACAGCTTAATTGCTTGAATAGATCTTCCATGACACATCTAAAACTAGCTTTTGTTGATCAGTAAAACAGCAACTTTCCTTTTCCAAAGTCGTAACATATAAAGTTGATGGGATTCCAACTTCCAGAATCTATTCCCCATCCAATACGCCATCTCTAATCTATTTAGTTCAGTCTCAACTCAGCTAAAATCTCAGTCAGCCATGTCTGACTTGGAATTCATCCTCTCTGTTCTTTCTTTGATCATTGCTTCACTTCTCACCATTAATTTGTTCAAAAGAAAACACTACCACCACCACCACCTGAATCTCCCCCCAGGCAAGATGGGGTGGCCTTTTCTTGGTGAGACCATTGGCTACTTGAGGCCTTATTCAGCTACCTCTATTGGGTATTTCATGGAAGACCACATATTTAGGTAATTGATTAATCTTTGAAGAAATATTCCCTTTCTCTTGATGAAGGCCTTATATGTTGGTTTCTATTTCTATATTCGGGTCAAGTGCAGATTCGGGAAGATATTTAAGTCGAACTTATTCGGGGAGAAGGCGATAGTGTCAGTAGATGCAGGGCTAAACAGATACATTCTTCAGAATGAAGGGAGGTTGTTTGAGTGCAGTTACCCAAGTAGCATAGGTGGGATACTTGGGAAGTGGTCAATGCTGGTCTTGGTGGGAGAAATGCACAGAGATATGAGGACTATCTCTCTCAATTTCTTGAGCAGTGCTAGGCTTAGAACTCAGCTTCTCAAAGAAGTGGAGAAGCACACTCTGTTTGTTCTTGGTTCTTGGAATCCAGGCTCTGTTATCTGTGCTCAAGATGAAGCCAAAAAGGTACTCCATTCTAGTTTCTTCATTTAAAACTTATCTCTCCCAAAATATACTCCGTATTTAAGAAATTGCTCTGATGACTTAACTATTATATATATTTAAGACACTATTATGTTGCTTTTCAAAAGACAAATCTGATATAATGACTTGTCTGAGATATTGAATCTTTGTATTTGACTGGTGTAAGAAATTTTAAATATTGCCAATATACTTTTTATGACAATTTTGCAGTATACGTTTAATTTCATGGCGGAACATATCATGAGTTTGGAACCTGGAAAGCTAGAGACAGAAAAGCTGAAGAAAGAGTATATTACTTTCATGAAAGGGGTCGTTTCAGCACCATTGAATTTCCCAGGAACTGCATACAGAAAAGCCTTGCAGGTACATATGTAGGACTTGTTTGATTTTTAAATCATCCAAACCAACCAATTTTTTTTATGTTATGACTTACTTTTTTTATCAGTTTGACCTTTTACGATATTCTTGATACTATACTCATTAAGCTCAAATGAACAATCAATACTTAAACTCATTCCCGGTTTTGTTGACAGTCTCGGACAAAGATTCTTAAATTCATCGAGGAGAAAATGGAGAAGAGACAGAAGGGGAATGAGGAAGAAGGAAATGATCTTTTGGGATGGGCAATAAACAATTCAAGTCTTTCAAAGGAACAGATTCTTGATTTGGTACTGAGTCTGCTGTTTGCTGGCCATGAAACTTCATCTGTGGCCATTGCTTTAGCCATCTACTTCTTGCAAGGCTGTCCAAATGCCATTCAAGAACTAAGAGTAATAATTTATTAACAATTAATTAGTTAGTTAATCAATTAAGCATGTTATATGCATCACTCATCATTAATTAGTCACCTTATTAATAGCTACTACTCTTTTTTTCATTGTGTTCTAATTAGTCACCTCATTAATCATTTCAGCCATCTCATTTTCACTTTTGATAAATTGTGAAAAAACAGGAAGAACACATGGAAATCTCTAATGCCAATAATGAGCAATCTGGAGGCAAGGAACTGACTTGGGATGACTACAAGAAGATGGAGTTCACCCATTGTGTAAGTGTTTTCTTTAATGTCATCCCAATTTTTAATTAAAGAAATTAGCTTAGCACTAATTTAGTTGAAGATAAACAAAGCATATGGTGTTTTTTGTTAATATGACCACAAAATTGTCACTTTATTTTATGATCTTTATTCGTGACGGAGTAGATATTCCATTCTAATATCCTATACTAAAGTTCCCATTTCACTACGATATTTTACGAATACTTCGTAATAAAATCAACAATTGTACAATAATATTTTGATCGGGTTTGTTGAAAAAATTGACATGTTTATAAAACTACACTGAAAATATTGAACCCAAAAATGAGATTTGCAATAGCATAAGAAATTTATTTATAAATCAAATATTAAAGTGGAGTTAAGTTGAACACATGAATAAAGATTGAGAATCTTTTTTTTTTTTTTTGAAAGGAAGAATCTTATTACGTGACAGATGGGGCATTATTTTTAGAATAAAGTATAGTAGCTTTACTTAAATAAATTGGATATGTGTGGGTAGTTTATTATTTGGATAATCATGAACATCCATGCAAAAAAAGACTTATAATTTGGAATGAAATGAATGCTTGTTTTTGTTTTCTGTATTACTTGACAGGATTATATTCTTTTAACTGAAAGCTAATACTGCCTTTTATTGTTTTCAGGTTGTAAATGAGACATTGAGGCTGGGGAATGTGGTAAGGTTTCTGCACAGAAAAGCCATCAAAGACGTCCGGTACAAAGGTATGTACATTGTGGGCATATGCTGGGAGGAGCCCAAATTTCTAAATACTTTCCATTTCACAATTACTATTATTATTAATTTAATAAGAATAAAATAGGAAAATGATATATGGTTGTGCATTTTGAAAAGGATATGACATTCCATGTGGATGGAAAGTGCTACCGGTTATTTCAGCGGTGCATTTAGATCCTTCACTTTTTGACCATCCTCAGCACTTCAATCCATGGAGATGGCAGGTTTGTCAATTTCACTCAAACCCCTTTATTTCTTCCTATGCCATATGTTCATTTACCTCTATACAAAACCTAGCTTACCCGCATATATACAACTCTTTACTACCCTAATATATTTAGTGGCGGAGCAAGAGATGTCAGGTTAGGGGGCCGTGCTTAAAGACTTTATATTGGCGAATCAAAACTTAAAATTTCACTATTAGGAGTACTATTTATAAAATATACGGAGTATGTAAATCAAATACTCCGTATTTTGTTTGGGGATAAGGTCCCCTCCGGCCCCTACCTATCTCCACCGTGCATATATTTAGATATTCGCTTAGGTAGTCGATTTGATGGAGTAGGTGAAATGTTGACGACTTGACGGTGACCGAAAGGCTCCCGAGTTCAACCCTACCCTAAACATTCTTAGTCTAGCCGGTTGCACATGGACTATCTAGTTACAAATCGTCTTTGGGTGTACCTATAGCCTAGCTAAAGGGAAATATTGGGATGGGTCAGTAAAAATATTTTTTATATAAATTTTACATATATTTTCTACACATAAACTGAAAATATTTTATAAAATTTAGGGCAGGCCGAGGTCCGGCGCATGACGCCCTCCCCATAGCTACACCCGTGAAAATAGACAGGTTTGGAGGCGCTATTATGCTCACCTTATGGTTTACTCTAAATGTAGCGGGCACCCTAAATGTGAGAGTTTTCATGTCCTCGCCTCTAAAGCACCCTTGACACATCGTCTATTTCAACACTTCATCCCAATATTTTATGGAGACTAGAATTCCATTCTAAAAAGTTATAGTTAGATTGATAGAGTTGCCCAAATCTTATTTAGAGGAAGTTTGGAACTGATTCTATTTTTTTTTTTTTTTACAAAGCAGAATCAGAATCGGTTGTCAAAAGCTAGTCTCCCCCGGCTTCTAAAAAACAGCTTCTGAGAGTAAATTAGAGCACCAAAAGTACTTCTGCACTTTCACCCAAACACTACAACTTCTGTTTCTGGTCCCTGAATCATATCCATAAACCCCATGCTCTCTCTCTATTTTGTTTCCTTATAAAACACTCTATTGTCCTTACTTGCATGAATACAAAACACAAACCTTAAAATAGTTGAGTTTAAAAAATGTTTTCTGGCACATAAGTACGCATGACATGATTGTGTTGGGAGTATAAAATTACAAGGTGGAGATAATAAAACAGCAGCTAGGGAGTAGAGAAAGAAGTAACTTAGTCCAAAGAACATTCCATCATTTATGAGGCAAGCAATCATAGTCCAACAACTAGCTAGGCTAGCACACAATGATCTGTCATGATCAAATGATCTTTTTATTATAGTTAATGTTATTGCTTTTATAGCGTACGAAAAATGGTTGTCCCCGCTAGATACAAAGTGCGGTGTGGCCGTGGGGGGCTTTTTCCACACCAAAGACAATCCCAATTCAACTCATCATTATCTGGGAGTATCTTTGCATTATCCCTCCCGACACTCCGTAATTAATTCCCAGTTTTGAACTCGCGTGATTAATTAAACACCATTGAAAAAAGGTGTCTTTTGAATTCTCATCTACGCCTTTGCTAGCTGCCGTTCATGAAAGTACCCGCACGAGTAGTTCAGTTGGTCGAGTGGTTGGAAAATTGGGTCAAGTGACTAAGGTTCGAAACCCGCAGCGGTCATGTGGAGGTTATAGAACCTGAAATAAGGCTGGACCTCTTGTGCACACGTGTATAAGGCATACCACCGCTTTGCTGACTGAGTTATCGTGATTAACTTCCCCACTATCCTATCAGGTCGGGGTAGGAGTTCCGTGGGAGATTCCACTTTTGGACCAAGCTGTTCACGAAAGCTAATCCTTTTGTTTGACGGGTCAAAAATCCATTGACACGCCAGTTATTTGAACGCATTCATTCTTAATTTGACCCATTAAATGCTGAACAGTTTATGACAACAAAGGTTAAGGGGAGTTGATGGTTTTCGAATATACTTCCTCTGATTTTTAATATACTCCGTAGTTATTGTTACGTAGTAAAATAGTACGACTATGCATGTTTTTATTTGTACTAAAAAAAATAGTATGGTCGGTCTAAATTAATTTGGTCTAGTCTGGTAAATGTCTGATCTCTGTAGATGTCATAACTATATAAGTCTTTTTTTGATCTAATTTGATCAATTCTGAAACTGAATACCGTCTTTAAGTAAAAACATCCTATATTTTAGAAATTGTCCTCAAGACGAAATTAGTATGTCGTAGTATAGTAAGGGTTGTAAATGAACCGAATCGAGTCGAATAGTGAGATTTTGTATTTGTATTTGTTTAATTTTTTCAAATACGAATCTGAATTCGAATATGAAATGATTATTAATTTCGATTTGTATTTGTATTTGTTTAACAATACGAATAGTTAACGAATCATACACAAATATTAAATCGATTTGAGAATAATAAGTTAAATATTAGTCAAATGTCACTTTAAAATAACTTTTCCTTTATTTTTATGTTGCAAATGCATGAAATGACTTAATATGTGTTTTTAGTATTTGATTTAATTTGTAACATTACATTTTCTTAAAAATTAATGGACCAATGCATTTTTAGATTGTGTACAATATAATCAAGTGAATCAATTTAATGATTTTTAAATACACATCTATTTCAAACATTTTGAAATAAACACTAACACACACATTAGAAATTACATTTATAATGTATGAAATAAGTTGATAATTGTATATATCAAAGACAAACAACTCTAATTTTATGTTAGATATTTAGCATTGTTGCTAATAAAAAACTATCAGATATACGGAGTATAATTTAAACTACACATATAGTGCATATTCGATACACATTCATATTAGGTAGGTGTTTTTAATTTGTATATGTATAAACGAACATATTTGATTATTCATTGAATTGAATACATAATTATTTGTATTTGTATTTGAAAGAAATTTGAATCAAAAAGCTGAAATGTATTTGTATTTATATTATATATTTTCAAATTTAAATCATAAGTTTTGAATCCAAATCAGAATCGAATTAAAATTATTTGTTTCATTTACAACCCTTACTTCGTATGATATTTTTTATTTATTACAATTATGCTTGGAATTTGTATATGTAAGTGTATATATGAATTACACTATTATATAATAAATACAAATTATTATTAATATTACCAGTATTATATGAGGTTATAGCTATCTTTTAATAATTATTATAATGCTATCACTATTATTATTAATATTACCAGTATTATTTATCGAATATATTTGATTAATATTCGAATGGAATACACTGATATTCTTATTTGTATTTGATAACAATTCGAATCAAATTTAGTATTCTTATTCGTATTTGAATTTTTTGAATTCGAATAGACTTTTATGAATTCGAATCACAAATCATAAATTATTTGATTCGTTTACCACTCTACGTCGTACTCAATATTATTTTACATGACTAGATTCTTTAATGCATCGATTAATATGATAAGATTAAAGAATGGTTTTATTGGAGTAGTTCACAAGTATAATAATTGCAACTAATAGATCGATGATAAATAATAGTTGTACGTAGTACTGCCTTTGTTCATTATTAGGGAATGTTTGGTAGGATTGGTCTACTTGAAATTTATGAAATTCAGATTAAAACGGTTGAATTTGTTTAATCATGAAAGTATATGAGAAAACAGTTAAAATAACGTTCTTCAATATTTTCAGCTTATTCATCTAGGAAAGTAACTCTATCTCCATGCATTTCATTAGTCAGTAATACTCCGTACATAATTCAGGTGTGAAAATAGCAATTATAGTACTTTAGTTTCATTGTAATTTTTTATTATTCTAAATACTCGTCAGAGTTTCATTTTTGAAGTCAAAATGGTGACGTCAAAATAGCTGCCGCAACACGCCTTCCTAAAGTATAGAATTTCTAGAAGCAAAAACAATCTCTTAAAATAAAAAATTCTGACTCCTATATTCCTATAAAAAAAATCTTCTTCAAAGAAAAAAGAAATATTTTCAGACTCCACTAAAATCTAAATTCTTCTTCATTTATGTGAAATGAGTATGGGGAGTAATTGCGAGAAGTTGGAATATTTAAAACAAGATCATACTCCATATTAAAATTTAATTATAAAGAAATAGGAATATATTGGGAGGACCAATAATAATGCGGGCAGGTGATAAAAGTCCTCCATGCTGGAGTGGGGTTTCCAAATGCACGTGCAAACAGAAATGCCCTTCCCCGTGGGTTCAATCATTTTTACACGCACACTCCATTAAATGAATACTTCAACAAAGACCTTTAATCCCGTGCTCTTCTCCTCACCTATTGAATCACTTACTATTTAGTTTCAAATCATATTAATTCATTAATTAATGACATTAATTAATGGGAAGAGTAAGCATTCATTACACACATGATCAATTGTTCTAACACAATTAGCCAAAATTCAAAGATGACCAATCTTAAAAAAAACATCTCTTTAAGGATTAAATAGGTTATATTTTACAAACAAAACATTGTTATTCTTACCTAAGAAAAGTTGGTATATTCAATCATATTTTTAGTAATAAAGTTTCCCTCAGTCTCATGAGACTTGACAATATTGACTTTTCATGTTCAATAATGATCAAATTTGACATTTAATATGAAATTCTTTTAAATATAAAAATTATATGAAAACGTTTTATGTAAAATGCATTGTCATACAAGTATATAAGTTACTGTCTTCACAAATAATGCAACGAAAATCATTGTTCAAAGCTCCATTCTTATACATTGCTTAATTCTTTGCATGCAGAATAAAGATGGATGTGCAGCTTCAACGTCGCCAACAAATAAGAACTTCATGCCTTTCGGAGGAGGGCCGCGGTTGTGCACGGGATCAGAATTGGCCAAGCTAGAGATGGCCATATTCATCCACCATTTAGTGCTAAACTACGACTGGAAACTCGCCGGTTTTGACGAAGCTTTCGCCTTCCCATTTGTCGACTTCCCGAAAGGCTTGCCCATCACAGTCACCCGCACGCCCTCTGCTTCAACCTCACTTACGCCACAACAAGTTGTTGAATGTTGATGTATAGCAACGCATGCAAGCCAAGTTATATATGTAGTCCGAGTCATGGTTATATATGTGTATTATTCTGTTTTGGAAAAATATCTGTTATCCACTTGAGGTTTGACATAATATAAATCATTAATTTATTATATAACGATGATATCAATTCTTATAAAAATCATTGTTGGTCTTGGTAAATCACAAACTATTTATACTAAACAGAGTATAGGGGCGGACAAGGACTAGCATCGGTGTGGTACTTGGTTCCAATCGTCCCCCTAACCAGAACTGGAATCAGTTTTGGGGTTTAGGTTATTTTTGGGATTCTAGCCCCCCCCCCCCCCCCCCCCCCCCCACTAAGTCAGTGTATAAATTTGTTAAATGCAAGGCTTGAAAGATAAACTGCCTAAATGATTAAAATCTACTACCTCCGTCCCATGAAATAAGTCATATTTCAATTTGGATCGGAGTTTAAGAAAATGAGAATAAAGTGGAAATGTATGGTTGTGTTTGAGTAAGAAAATGTTAATGAATGTTAGCTACACAAAACTTTCCAAAATGGAAAATGAGAACAATTTTTTGGGACGGCTCAAAAAGGAAAGTGAGACTTATTTTATGGGACGGAGGGAGTATTAATCTAACACTTAAAATAAGTTATAGAAAGGACCATAAATTATTTTTATGAATGTATATATATATATATGTGTGTGTGTGTGTGTGTATCTGTGTGGGGGGGTTGGGGTTGGCAAAAGGACTATTTGCCATATGGGTTATATTATCTTGATGAATCCTTCTTGATTCCTAATTTGTGTGCTATGTATATTAATGGGAGGGGCATTTTGACTACCAAAGATTTTGGAGAAAATCGATGAATAGACCTTCATAGTAGGCATGGACTCGGGCCAGGTCTGATCGGGCTTTTTTTTGGAATCTTGAGGCTCGGAACCGGCCCAGGTAGCTACCGGGTCCGGGTAGGGCCGGGCCAGGTACAATTTTTTTTATTTTCTAATTACTTCTTACCCCCCACCTCCCAAAACATCCAGCCCAACCTATATACCTCCCAAATATTTTGAAAAACAATTTGTCTATTTGTCTGTTAGCTTTTCTCTTTACTTATGCACTATTGTAATGGCATACGTAATATGGGTAAAGAGACATTTGTGGAGGCCTTATGCCTCATTGAGGACTCATAACATTTTCAATTCTGTTACATGTGGAAGAACTAGCCCTTTCATATAGATAGATATGGACATGTGAGTTGGCCCGTTTTATATCGAGTCAGTTATGCTTGCACCAATAGGCAAAAAACATGGAATAGTTTGGCCCAAACTTAGCCCGGGCTCATTTTCAAAATGTCTACTCTTTCCCCAATCAAACATGAGTATAAATCATGTAGCTCATTTTAAAAATGTCTGCTCCTTCACTCACCCTTTTCCCAATCAAACATGATATATATAACTCATCTACCAACTTTTGAAGGGAAGAAAGATTGATCCACCCCTTAAGTTTTTTATTTTTTGCCATGGATTGAAATTTAAAAGTTCCATTTGGTCTTTCATCTTTAAAATAAGATTTGTCCTGGTAACTCTACACTAGCATTTTATTATCATCATCTATATTTGGTGTATTTTAGACCCAATCTATTTAAGTCTGGTTTTTCTTATCTGGTCTTGGACTAATGAAACCCCCAAAAACATGTTCTGATTTATTTGTGATTCTTTTATTAAAACAATCATACTCCGTATATCACAATTTCATACCCCATCAATTTTGAACAAATATGAAAGTTTATCAATTCAAGACCTTAAAGATAAATTAACTATGAATCGAAAATCTGAAAACTATAAATCTCAGACTTAAAATTCCTAACATACAAAATATCATGAACTTTATTTTACTTTTACTTTAAATATTGTTTAACTCTATTAAACTAATGAATTTTTGTGAAGAAAAAATCAGCAAAAAATAGAAATAAAATAAATAACAAATGAAAGAAATCTAAGTCTGAAATTTTCTATCTTTAATTGATAGTTTTCAATTAATAAATCTCATGTTTCGTGTCCTCAATCGATAATTAATTTATTTTTCATGTCCTAGATTAATAAACTATACAAAACAACTACTCCGTATGTATAATGGCTGTCATTCTGTCAATCACAAACACAATTTTGAAAACCTCTTTGTGCAGAACATAAATCAATCATGTAACCGCCCTCCTTCAAGAGTTCAAGCTAATTAACTCATACAAAAAATGATAGTCCCATTGCTCCTATTTTATCTTCCAAATAGGTTTGGCACACAATTTAAGATAGTGGGTATTGTGTGGTAGAGAGTTGTGAAGAAGAGAGAGAAATGTGTAAAAAAATGGAAGTTTTAATTGGAACGGAGGGAAAAGGAAAGTTGGAAGTTTTAATAGGAACGGAGGGAATACTTCTAACCAAATTTGCCAATTTAGGGGGGTGTCCCCAACTTTGATTTAGAAAGTTTTTTAAGGATTTGGATTCCATAGGAATTTAATGGAATTCCAAAGAATCTATAGATTCCAAAAGAATATAATTCCATGGATTTTAATGGAATGTTATTGAATTCTACTCCACCGCCCCTCTTAAAGCTCCGCACCTGATAGCTTCGCCACCCCATAAGCGCTCCAATTATCGTCCTTCCTGAAGCTTTTTTGTTGAATTCTGGCCCTATATCGTTGGATTTCTCGTCTATGAGTTATTGTTTTCGGAGAAGATAGGCTAAGGAGGAACCTGAAACGTTGCTATGGCTGCCGGTGTGAGCATGGCGAGACGCATTAGCAATTCTGAAGGAATTGTTCGGTGGAATCGGTGCAGCAGTTGACCTGGAATGGGGACCATTTTCATTCAACCAGATTCATGTTTTTGGTTGGACCCACGGTTGGTGGTTGGCAGGATACCAGTGGAGTTTGCTAGCTTGTTGTCAAAAATCAACTAGTAGATAAGCATGGGAGAAGAGGGAGAAGAGATTTGGCTGGAGAAGAATTTACCAAGGTTTCTTCCTTTTGTGATGAAGAATTCAGAAGAGATGTAGGGACGGGTAGGTGGATTTCAAATCCGAGGGGTGAAGCAAAGAGAATTAGTGGAATTGGATTAGTATTATTTTTCATACCAATTCCATTAAAATCAGCTGAAATTCAAGAGAAATAAATCCATGGAGTAATTGAGGACACCCAGATTTTAAAGGAGTTTTGAAAATCCAAGTTGAGGACACCCGGATTTTGATGGAATTCTAAATTCCTTTAAAATCCGTAAGAATCCATATTGGGGACACCCCCCTTAGTATCATAATCGCAATAATAAGCAGCTGGCTAGGAAAAAAGAATACACGTTGATACAAGAGGCAGAGAATGTCTAGACAATGATACAATTACAGTTGTGTTTCAAAAGGTTCCAGCAGCATAAACATAAATGCCTACATACATACATGTATACATATATTGTGTGTGAGGAGAGAGAGTGGCCAGAAAGGTGGGAAAAGACCATATATGTTTTGTATAGATATATAATATATTCCTCTCAGACCAGCCTAACGGGAATTTGATAAAGCAAACTTCAGTTTTGGTCAACAGTTCAGTTTTTTCATGCTCATTAGTATCAACTATTAACTTCAACCATTAGATCTTCAATTGTCAAACATAGACACTGGAAACTCAGTGTTTCTCTTTTAGATGTTATCCAACGGCAAAGATCAATTATAATTCAAATAAAATTTCCCTCACCAAAATTGAATAGTTGATATGATCAAACGGTTGAATTATGAACAAAAAATCTGGACTCTTATAATTACTTTTTGGACGAAAAAAATGGAACTCGCCTGGCATAGCACACCGGACTTGATCTTTCCCTTCCCTCTCTCTTTGTGTGCGTGTACAATTCAGTGATACAATATACTCTATCCATACGGGCATTCGATATTAGAGGCCAATGGGCTCCTCAGGATTAGGCTGTAAACGAAAGTCAAGGAACAAAACGCACCTTCACTGAGGATAACATGAATGCACAGCACAAGGACCTCCTCAGTCAAAAACTCGCTCTCCGGTAGAGAATAATAGAAAAATAAAAGAGCTGAAAATACAAAGAAACCCTGGAATGGTAAAAACAGCCATCCAGCTTTCTGCGCTTGTAAGATCCAGTCGAGAACGCTTAGCAGATTCAAGCAGACGTCCTGTAAGATCTACTCCAACAATTCCAGCTAATGTTCCGGCTGTATTAGAAACACCCATTAGAATTCCAGCATACCTGGGAGCAATATCCATGTGATTAATTGCAAACCCTGCTCTTCCCAAAGCCAAGAAACCAAGTGCCACTGAAGAACAAAACAATGCCCCAGCGGGTGTTTCGAACAGAGGAAGAGCCATCAGTGCAAATGAAGCCACAACAAAACCCAGAGTGTTCAAAAGTTTTCTCGTTTTAGTAATAGAAAAGATTCGTCTTGTGATAAAGTGGTCGGCAGCCACCCCGCCGATATTTGAGAACACGAACATGTTGAAATAAGGCATCATCTTAGAAGATCCCATATCTTGAAGGCTGACTTGGAGGCCTAACTCAAAATAGGTAGGGAGCCAGTTCATGAGCACATAGAGAGCGTAATGAAACGTGAAATTGTTGACAACAATTGCCCAAACTGGTAAGCTAAGTACAATTTGCTTCCATGGAATTTTGGGACTTCTGTTAGGATTCCCTCCATGCTCTACTTTCATCTTCACACTTCCTTTGATTGGCAGCAAGGTTTCTCCATAGCCAGCAGCAGTTGCTTTTGGATGAGCGGAGTGTGGCGGGTCACTAGAAAACCTTAACCATAGTAGGGACCACATTCCACCTAAAGCAGCTTCAGCTAAAAACACAGATTGAGGACCTCTGAACTTTACAAGGGTAGGAAGGATGAGCATGCCCATGGCTGCACCTAGATACATTCCAGAAGTTGTAAGAGAAACGGATCGTGATCTTTCATGTGGGGGTACCCATTGTGCTAAGACAGTGTGAATGGAAGGAAATATGAAGCCTTGGGCCACACCGACAAGCAAGCGGGCAATCACTAAAACCACTTCTCTGTTTGGATCAAGGGGTACCAATGCACAGGTTAGGGACCATAAGACAAACGAAAGGAGAAGAACACGCCTGCCCCCAATTCTCTGGGCTGCCCAACCACCTGGGACCTGTGAGCAGGCATACCCATAGTAAAATGATGACAGAATCATTCCTTTGCTAGCCTGATTCACACCAGCAGCATCAGCAGCAACAGTGTAGGCAATGGAAAAACCAACACGCTCTATATAGCAGACAGATGTACAAATGAAGGTCAACAAAACAATCTGATAGCGCACTGGAAACCTTGTGCTCTTCATGATTTTCCAGTTTCAGTGATGTGAATCATATGTACCTGTTTCAAAATGCAGAATAGCTTTCACTCAAAAGACCACCTAGAAACACACTTTCTTGAGTTTCTTCTAACTATTACTAGTAGTCTAGTACGATAATTCAACAGACTTTAATCACCCTCAGATTCATTGAAGTTACTACCGTAACATACATGAAATATAAAAACAAAATCATTTAGAAAATAGGATCATGACACTTTTAAGGTTTTAATAGAAAATGAGGATATTTCAAATGAATCAACTATGCAAAACTGCAGTCCTCAGAGTATGAAATAGGCTCAACACTGTAAACACTTAGGTCCTGTTGACTTCAATTTTCATTACCTGTTTTTTTCAGATTTCATTCCCCATATATAGAATCTCAAAACATGTTTGCTACTACTTCTTTATAAATATATTAAACTAAATAAATTTCCTATAGTGTTCCCGCCTAAAGAGCTCCACAGGAATAAAAACACCTTATCATACAACAAAAATTCCACAAAAAACATGAATAATAATGTAAAACAAAAGTGCCATTCTGTATGATACCACTCAGCTAATTCTAGTGCTAAGTTGTGATATGACACCATAAATGCAAAGGCACAAAACACCATAAACTTCCGTATAAATAGTAGAAAGTTTTGCCAAATGAGCACCACCTAAGAAACCTTCAAACTAATCACTCTAAAGAAGTCTAAACGATACACACACACACACACCTATATGATCAATTTCATAATTTTCGAAAAATACTCGAAAAAGAATATAAAAATGTTATATTTGTTCAGAAAATACATGGAAATTGAAATCTTAGAATAAGTCAATGATAGAATTCGATTTTAAATTAGGAATGGAGAAAAAGGGTGTACAAGTGGTTATATACAAAAAAATAAGTGAATACCATTACTTTTACCTTCGTTTGAGTGGTTATGTGGACGAATCTAACATCGAAAGGCGTTGGGGATAGTGATCGCAGATTGAAGCCGAGCAGAAATCACTATATCAGCGAGCTCTTCTGTAAGAAAAAAAGACCCTAAGCAGTTAATCCAGTTAGAACTTACAGGTTTCAACTTAGAACCCTAAATACTTCGTATTCACAAATGACAAATTCACAAGTTTAAAAGTCTAAAGTCCTCAAGTGAACAAAAATATCTGCAACATAATACTATTAAAAATATAATTTTTTAAAATCCATTCAAAACACTAGATTAAAAGTGAGCGGTTGAACTTACTTTTTGAAGCAATGAAGCCGGATTGCCGGAATATGTATTAGAGATTTGAAGAGGACAGCCGGAAAGGCTACAGGCAGCGGCGACGCCGAATCAGTAATCGGTTTTAAGAGGCGCATAGGCGGCCGGCGCTGGCTGTAAGAGCACTCACGCCACACGGCTACACGGCGTTCCTGCTTTTTCCGTTCGCGTCGCAAGTCCTAACTTAGAAGTCACTTTGCCTGGCTCTCGCTGAGTCGCTGTAGACGGCTTCTAGTTTCTTTGTTTAGGCCAAAAATAGCACTTTGCTCAATTCATCCTTATATTAAAATGTCAAACTCTTGTTTAAGAGATTGTAATAAGAAGAAAAAGTAATATTGTAGTTACTTTTCTGGTTATATTGGTTGAAGTTACTGTAGACGATCACTTTAGCTATTTTTTAATATAATATTTTATCTAATTTATTAATAACAAATATTTTAAATATAATTTTTCAATGAAGCAGCAGAATCAGCCAATACAGCCACCTCAGCCAGAACTTCATAATTTCAGCATAATCATCCAATTCAGCCAATTTTAGTGTTACCAAACAGACTCTAAATGTCACTCCCAAATTAACTGGTTTGTTATAAAATTCACTCCCATTGTTTATAATCATCTCCAATTCCGGATTACTAATAAATTCACCGCTCATGACATTTACAACACATTTGTCAATTCGTAGATAACATTTATAATCTCAGAAATTTAGGTCTTACATTTAGTGATTAATTGAGAGACTAAAAGTGCGATTTTCTTTTTAATTGGCTTTGTTCCTCAAATTTAATTTCTCTCTTTTAATACCCACTTTTTTAATACCCACTTTACTCTTTCAAAAGTAAGTCTCTAAGTTTTACATCGGTTTCCCCTTTTGACTTATAAAATTATTTTTTACACTACATTTTCTAAGTAATTTTTTTATTTTATTTTAAAAATTCATATAAAGTTGAAAAAGAAAGGGTTAATAATGTAATATTTAGGGATTATGTTGTAATATTCCATAACTCTGTTTTATTATAAATAGAAGGTCAAGGCACCCAATAGGGTAAGCCATTATTCTCTCAATTATATTTTCGTATATGGTATCAGTCGCTTAGGTTTTCCGTTTCATTCCTCCATGACCGACGCGCAGCCATCCGTAGCCATCACCCATTCGGCGCCCTTCTCACATGTGCGGCCACAGCAGGGCGGCATCCCGTCTACTCAGGCGCCCATGAATCTGGTGCAGCCGCAGTCCGCAATTCTCAGTCAGACCACCGGTCAGATGTCTTCCCTTCAAACTTGCCCTAGCAGTGTGACTCATTCTTCGCACACCGATGATGTGCCACCAGAGTGGTCCCCTCTTGCTCCATCCCTCCGGCAGCGTCTCGGTAATTCCCAGCACATTGATCAATATCAGTTATTTGGCATGCCGACACCGTATGCTGGCACCCCATACGTCGGGTACCCACGGATTTCCCCTGCACAAATTGAGGGGGGTGTAATAATGTAATAATCCATAACTCTGTTTTATTATAAATAGAAGGCCAAGGCACCCAATAGGGTAAGCCATTATTCTCTCAATTATATTTTCGTATAAGGGTAGGGGCATTAAATATAGGGAAAAATAATCTATATCTCAAACTTTGGAGGGGTGTGACATAAGTACCTCAAACTTGCATATGTAATATATATATCCAAACTTAATATAAAAATTGATGTTAGCACCATGATTATATATTTTTTATAAATGTAATTTTATGATTTTAAGTACATAATTTAAAGTACACAAAACATTTATGACAATGCAATTAAAATTAAATTGTATCGGTGTAATATTATTTATTTCACAAATGAAATTTGATAACGATAATTGCATTCTATGAGGCTTAGAGTAATTTAAATTATGTAAATGTTCCAATAAATTTAAATTTGTAATAAAATATGCGATCATGGTACAAAAATAACTTTTTATCTAAAGTTCAAGATATATATATATAACATATACAAGTTTAGAGTATTCTTTCATACCTTATTAAAGTTTGAGTTGCAGTTATAAAAGATATCCCTTTATAACTGCTAACAAATCACGTTTAGCGGATGCATTAGATGTAAGAAGGAATTGTTCCGGGAATTCAAGCAGAAAAATGATTGAGATAGATGTAAGCCTTTCAATTCGTAGGATATCGAAATAGAGAGGCCACAAATATGTTATGTTACAAGGCTGCAAGCACGTTGACAAATCAAATCATTTAAAAAATTTTAAAATTCTGTACATATTGGCGAAAAATCAGTTCCTTTACCGTGGGATATCCCACGGTGAGCACCGTGATCCTGATCCAAAACGACGTAGTTTTGCAACGATTTTTAATTAAAAAGTTCTCGCGTGAACAGTACACGCGTGAACAGTACTTATTTTTTATTTTTCTCTTGTTCCAGTAACATAATGGTAGTTCAATGTAATTGATGAATGTAACTCAAGTCTAGTCGAAATGTAACTAGTTCAATACATAACATAAGAAATAAAAAATTGATTTCAATGGAAAAAAAGAAGTCTAATTGTCCAACTATTTAACATAGATTGTGTATATGTCTTGTTTTTAATATCAGTGCTATAAAAATGATTTTTTATGAAAATGATTTTTCTTTGAATAACATGAGCTTATTGCGCTGTGTAACTCGTATTATATTCATGTGTAACTCGTATTATGCAAAATGTAAATCACGTGTAAGGAAGATGTAACTTGTTAGGCAAAGTTGACAGACAAACTCTAAATGTTACTCGCGCACATGAATTGTGTAACTCGCGCACACAAAATGTAACCGCAAGTATTTTCGAATGTAAGTTGAGCCAAGTCAAAATCAATTGTATACATTTAGAGTGTGTATGAATTGTATATTATTATATATATATGTGTGTGTGTATGTATATATGTATATAAATGAATATGTCTAATCAATTCGTTCCTCATGCTAGGCCAGCCCAATAATCACCCTTGCTTTACTCCAAGATGAGGTCATGAGGAGCAAGGTTTACTCCAGCCTCCAGGATACGACAGACCAAGAGCGCTCTTTTCCCAGCTAACGGTGAATGAACTATCTTTCTCCAATCAGTCTCCCATCTTCACGGTGGCACTGTCGTGAACTGTAGGGATTAAGAGCAATCCCTTTTTTAATTAATAAAAGTACGTCGTTTTGAGAGCAGGAGCGGGGTGCTCACCGTGAGATGATCTCACGGTATAATTTGCGGTGAAAAATGGTTTTCATGTAAAAAAGACTTCAGAACACATCTACATTGGTTTCGAAGAGCAAGATCCGTACAAAGTTTACAAGAACTTTCTTTAATTATTCCTAAAATATTTTCCATTAATGAGAACATGCCTAAAAGCATGTTCGATATATGAAAATATATCATCTATTATTATATGAATATTTTTTTTGTAGCCAACATGGATGGAAATTGAAAAAAGTTCCTTCAATGATTCCAAAAACTTTGTGATCTGCTTATAAATAAAAATAAATACTAGTTGAATGTTTTGAAGTCCTTAATTTTAAGAGGGTTTTCAAAATTTTACAAAAATAAAATTTGTTAACAAAATGTGACTAATGTAATGTTTAGAAGTGTAAAAATTGAACATAAGTTACTATGAATAAAATTACTATTATAGTCACTCCACTTTTTTAAAAAAAATATAATCACTTTACTTAAGATGTTACATTTTCGTAAATAACATTTATTTTAGTCATACGTATATAATTGTTTTTTATTTTTAACAACTCATTATATTTCATGTATATGTTTTTTAGTATTTTTGTGAGTTCTAATGCATAGTTAATAAATGTGAGGTTTTAAGAGTTGCATCCTTGTTTTCATATTCTTTGCTAGGGATAAGTTTTACCTTATATCTTTTATATTATTCAAAAAATCTTTGAACCTTTTTAATTCTCTTTTCATATGCCTATTGTTTTGCAAGAAAAACAATCAACTCTTATATTAATTTAATAATGAGTCAACAAAGAGATAACAATAACTAGGAGAACCACCAACCCAAACCCGGAAATCTAACATAGAATTCGTTACTCTAGCAAACTCGTGAGCAACGCGATTCCATATAACCTAATATGGGAAAAAACTTTATTCTAATAAAACTAGTGATCAATCCTCGTTCTAATATCATATGCAATTAAACTGAATGTTGTAATACTATCACCATTAACAATCTTATAAATAGCATGGAACAGATACGACTTCACCTCCACATTGTCCCAAGCTCCCAACCTTTCCCAAGCTCGCAAAAAGTTAGGTCCGTTAGATTATTGGACTTATATTGCATGTAATATTCACAATATATTATTTATCGGGTTTAATTGTATGTTATATGCTATCTTATATTTAGGCCCAAAAATTAGTGGTCCTATGGATATTAATTTAAGTGGGCTAATAAGTTATCTAATAAGGTATAGGGCCCAAATGTGTAGAGACCCATGGGCTTGACCTAATCAATGATGGGCTGATTAGGGTTAAGCACTCTCTATAAATAAGGGGTTATGGTCCCTAGTTGTACATGCCATTCTGTCTTTCTGCATCTCATCGCTAGAGAGATAATCCCGAGGGTGTGTATCAACTAGAAGACACAAACCCTAGCCTCCGTCTCCCGGATCTCTAAAGGCTATCTCCCATGGAGTCAGGTACGCTTCCGCTCAGTTAATTCTCCAGATAATTTCAATATGAAGATTAAAGTATTCATGGATTTATTCCAACAATTGATATCAGAGCCTCCTTCATATTGAATTATTTGGAGTCAATATAATCTACCGATTTATTGAAATAAGGGTAGTGTAATTTTGCGTTTATGCACGCAATTCGTTCATAATATATTTATATATTAGATCGGTAGTCAATCTTGAGGCAAAACGATTGAGTTTATAATGTTTCTTGTTGTGAAATTTGCCAATCGGAATTAAGGTAATGCGATTTACCTTTATGTAACTCGTTCCTATGTATTCCCATGATTGAATCGGTGCTGAATGGATTAATCGTTTCCATCATATTGGAGTTACACTTCAACTTTATCAGTAAAGCAATTACGGTGCTGTTTTTTTTTTGTAATTCAAAGGTGGAATTGACGAACTGTATTGCGATTCAAGGAGTAACTTTTCAGTATTTTTTTTTTTGCTGATTCAACAATTGATGATCTAGTAGAATTATATATATATATATTTTAGACAACTACAACTTTCATAATTGTCGAATTGTTATTTTTCTG